AAATCCAAAAATGTGAGGGAATTCCTGGGAGCTTGGTATTCAGACAAGGCAGCTATCAGCAGGCATGTGAACTAAACCATTAGACCTTTTCAGTTTGGCCTGAGAACTTTAAGCCAAGATTTGATAAGTTTTGAGGAAGGTATTCCACGCAGAAAGGACAGAGGCCTTTTGAAGTTTACTCATGAAGCAAATATTTTATTTATGCATTTATTTGTTTTGTATATACTTTCCTTCAGGAGTTTAAGATGAAGTACTCCCTCTTCCCATTTTTCTGTACAACAACAACCCTATGATGTAGGCTAGGCTAAGAGTGACCAGCCCAAAAATCTCTGAGTAGGTTTCTGTGGTTGAGGATGGACTGTGTCTTTTCGGTGCCTGTCAAAAACTTTATGGCCGATACCACACACTGCCTCTCATTTAATCGTTCTCTCTGTTTCTGATCTGCTAAACAAGTCTATTTTTTAAAAAAATGTTCTTTTGTATACTTGAAACCACTTTTTAAACTTTGTGTTGAAGTACTTATTTACAATAAGCAAACAATTGACTTCTTTCCATAGAATCTGTAACTGCAGTATCTGGGAATGGCTCATCTCGAACAAGTAGACAAGGTCAGAATAGAAGTACGAGAACATCAAAAAATGATACAGACATCAGGGTTATTGAAGAGCTCTGTAAAGAATATGATTGTAATTTGGATGAGGTAAGATTAGTTTAAGGTTCTTAGAATTTTGTATTTTTTTAAAGTTTAGTTATCTTAACAAGTTCTACAGAAAGACATACAAAAAAATGAAAAAAGAGACATCTCTTGAATTTGATCCTTAATATCAGGAATGTTACTGCTTTTCCAATTTCTCACAATAATTCTCTTAGCAATACCCCAGGCACCTAACCTTAACTTCTCAAAAATAGTCAGGTTCCGAAGTTTGGGGACATAATTTAATATGACATTAACATCTTTAAGATTAAAATATTTCTTCATACATCTACATATGTACGTTAACATATTTTTTCAAAAAGATGTCAGTGATTCCCAAGACAAATCGTATTAGTCAGTGACCTCTCACATTTTATATAAGAAAATCTGATGTCCGTCCTGTCAAATACATTCCTTGGGGTGTCCAGCAGGCTTGAAATCTTTTGATGAACAGTTTTAAACTTAAATCTACTGAAGCAAATTTAACATGTTTTAAGACCTGCAGCCATTGATGTTCCGTTATTGGGTGTTCCATTTTTTTAATTTGTGAGCCATAAATATTCTTAATGTCAACTTTAAAAATATTCTTTAATTTTTGATACAAAAATGATGTGGGTTTTGTTTCAGATATTGACTCCATCAATATAATAGCACCTCAGATTTCTCAGAAACAGTCAAAGCATCTAATCCATATTGAGTTGTTACAAGATGCTTGAGTTGATTATATTGCCACTGTTGTGAACTAGGGAGACAAAAACCTATTTGAAGTTGAGAAAAATCTTTAAAATAATTATTACCAACTGATTGATTTAAATTACGTATTCCAGATTCTATCTTCGATTTCCAATAGAACATTTTGCCTCCTATGTAATGTTATTAAAATGAATATTGCTCCATGATTAATTTATGTATTAACAGCTATCCAGAAGTTAATCCTAAATAAAAATAGACCACCTAGGATTTCATTAGCTAAACTGAGATTATTTTATGATAATTATCAAGCTTATCTTTTATCAGCTAGATTTATGTGGAATGGAAATTTAGCAGAAGATCAACCTTGGTGGGCTCTCTTGGAAAGTTTCTTTATTTTCCATTGAGGTCCTGGGAATTGCCTGGGTCCACATAATAGAAAAGGTGTTGCATTTCTGCATTTGTGAGCAGCCAAACATGTTTGGGCCTTGTTGGGTCGTAGACTGCATTTTGATGAATATTTAACTTTATGGAAGTCATGAATATTCAACTTTTTGGAAGAACTGTGCAATATTTTTTCCCCAGCCCACATTTTCATTATACTCTTTTTTTCTCAAATTCCATGATTTTATTAACTGGAGTTCCTATTTTCTAGGACACCGTTTCTGTTCCTGTCACTTGGATATGTTCCAAGATTTAGTCCTTCTTGTCTCTTTCTCCTGGATGCTCATGACGTTCATATCTTCCTCTTTATAAAGATTCTATTTGCCTTAGTAAACTGACTTTTCAGATTGCTTAAAGAAATTGTATTTGTCAACATTCAATTAATTTTTTCTTATCCCAACTAGTTCAATATTTCACAGTTTTGATATATCAGTCAATGGTTACAGGAGTCTTGAAGGCAGCTGACTGCCAGGGTTAGTCAACTGTTTCCATTAGATGGCTTTCATAATATGGTGGCATCTGATATACAATATATGCTGTTAATATTGATGTAATAAAGTTTCATTCTTTGCTCTTTGCTTTCATTCCTGTGTAATGGGATCAGTAAAGCTGATCTTGAGACATGCTGTGAATTTAGCTTTCAGGTGGTAAAACAACTGAAGGTACTTCACAAGAAGATTAATCTCTTATCTTTTTATGGTCAAAACCTATGCTGCTAATCAATCTTGCATATATCTCCTTAGGACAATTCATGCAAATGGTATGTCCTAAACCATATATTTTATAAGCATCTTATGCTAAACTAAATGTAATTCTAGAGAACAAGTCTGTCAGATGTAGTGACATCTTCATACTACTAAATTACTGTAGTGAACAACATACATTTGTTATGCTATATTATGCATGAACAGTGACCTCTTACTCATGACAATGATGCTGTTTTATCATTTTAGGTGAAAAATGTTTACTTCACTAGTTTTATTCCATGCCTGAATTCAATGGGCATTACAGCTTTCAAAGGACTTCCAGAGGTAAAACTAAAGTAATTTGAAAATCTGTTTGCCACAATGAATCCTAGTTCTGATTTTGATAATTAGAAACTTGTCTCTTGATAGAATTTTCTAATAGTGAATTGCTACTTAACAGTATATTAATACTTTTTTGTGAATATAGATACATTTGAATGTCAGATGACACAAACTCAGTGGTTCTTAAACTGTTTGACCCAATTACCCCTTTTCCTGGTCTCAAGTAATGTCATTATCCCTGCAAAAATCCCCACACTGTTGTTTTATACAAGAATCTCAGCAGTGGCAGTCCAAAATTGGATCCTTGACTCACAAACAAGTAATTACAAATTACTCCATTACCCCCAGGATATGCCCAGATTATCCCCTTACTGATAATTACCCGCAGTTCAAGAACCACCACACTAGATGATAACTTAGTAATGCTTTTCTTAAAATAAATGGAGTATAACTAAATGCTTTCCAAAATAAATTACAGATAAATGTATCATAGATTAATAGTATATTTTAATATGAATCTATTTTTTCTTTCAACTTAAGATTGAAAATATGTCAAGCAAATATGAAGAAATGTATTTGAAAAATAAGGATATTGATGCTAGATTATTTCTGGAGAAAGATGAGACTTTGCAATATGAAAATGCAGAATGGTAATATATATATATATATTTTGCATAATCTGTATTCCAGTAATATCTATTCATTCATGAAGTAAACTGAGGATTAGCCTTGTCTACCTCATAGACAGTGATGCATTATTTAAGAATGGAAGGTTAGAGTGAACATACTGATGGCCTGAGCCGCTTGACAATAGAATGGAATCCAATTTGGTTAAAGTTGGTAGGCTCTCTTTCATTAGTTGCTATCCAGCTTTGGCAGTGCTGTTGCTGCTGTGGTAAAAGCTTGGACTAAAATGGATCCTTCCAAGTTATGATCATAATATAAATAAGTAGATACGATTTTGAATTGCAGGAGTTAGTCAAGCCTAAGTCTGGGAGATAAGTTAAAGGAAAGGAGAATGAATAAATGCTAGATTTATATCTAGTACAGCTTTAAAAAAAAAAATAGAGCAACCAGAGCAAAGTAAGAAACCTCACAGAACAAGGACACCACAGGAACTACTATTGTCAGATGTATATTTTGTTTCTCCTTCAGGAACTCAAATTGGAGTATGTAGCAATCCCTCTTCGAATTTTTCCATTAATAAGAACTCTAAGTGGTGGTGGTGGTGGTGGTGGGGACAAATGTGACGAGAGATTTCAGCTTGGTTTAGGAGAAGCTTTTATATATCTAGCATCAGATGTATGTGCAGAGACATTTTTTTTTCTCATATTAAGTTTACAGTTAGAGAGAACACCTACAAAAAACCCAAGTGAAGATTCTCCTATTGTACTTCCACAAACCCCTGTTCGGTGAGAATAATTTAAATTGCATTAATATTGAATTCTTTAAATTTTTATTTAAATTATTTCTAAATTGTAATACTTATAAATTTAAATAAGGTAACTAACGTAATGTTTCAGTTTCTTAAGTATTGTGAAGCGTTAGTGTTTAGGTCTTATTTAAATATTTATATATTTATATTTCAAATTTTTCACTGCCCATCTCACTGCAGAATGACTCTGAGAGGTTTACAGCAAATATTAAATATTGCACAAATTTACATTTGTAGTTTCAAAGGAAAGGTGCAACAGTAAGGGTAGTCTTAGCAAAACTATCCTACAGGTTCAAATATTTTACTAGTAGTACTTTTCTGAGCATATAGTAGAATCCTTGCAAACATTCTGTGGCTTAGATCACTTTAGCAAACCTATGCCAGAAATTTTCTCACAACTTCACTGCTGCTACAAATAAGTTCTTTGTAATGTGGATAGTTTGAAATGCTTCAGAGGATGCTAATGCTGTTGTCGTAGGGAACAACTATAATGTAATAACATTAAAAATTATACTTCTGAGAAATGTTTTTATTTAAAGGCTATGATATTTCAGAAAATACTAATAATGTTTTCCATTCACTTTAGAGCTGCAATGAATACTATTCAGCAGTTAATGATAATATTAAACTCTGCAAGTGATACACCATCGGACAATCTTCTCTTCTATTTTAATGTAAGTAGCAATAATTTAACTATACTTGTGACTTCTCAGTAGTATGTATCAGATTGTGTTTTTTGCTGACTGGAAATAACAATTGCTTCAGGTTTGAATGATATGGTTAGTTTTAGTCAGTTCCAATTTGTTAAAGATAGACATGCAAAGAAGTAAGTTGGCAGTGTGTACTGCCATTAGTCAAGTTTGTTGGCTTACCACCTTGTGCAAACCATGCCTATATGTTAGAGGATTTATGTTATTGTGTGTTTTTATGAAGGGTATTATATATGTGCTTTTCTGTGATTCTGAAGACCACTTGTTTAATTTCTGTAGTTGTTTTTTGTTAGGGCAGTGTTTTATGTGGATATAATTCCCCATATTTGCTTTTGCTCAGAAAGGAGCTGGACATGCAAAAATATTGTTGTTTAACTAAATGGAATTGAAAATAAAGAGAATTCTTAGCCTTGTACTTGCTTTTATGGAGAATAAAACACACCAGAAATAGCTGGATTCCAGGTTAAGACGTAATAGTAACTCAACTGTTAAAACAAGCCTATAGTTATAAGCAAATTAAAAATTATGGCTTAATATCACAGGGAAACCAGGCTATGTTTTATGTATTGCAATGTTGTTAGGGACTTCATATGCCTTTTTAAATTAAAAAGGAGTAGAAGGAAAATGTATTTAAAATTTCTCAGCTCTGTCATATTTCAGAGTATATTAATTTGTCAGGAATTATTTTTTTATTTCCTGATAAGGCATAAGCTTTGGGAAAAGGAAGATTTTTGCAGGATGGGCATTATTTTTGCCAGGAATAAAAAATCACAATGTCATAATAAAATGCTAATTAAGAAGAAATTTAATATCATCTTTTTTGAATCATAGGGTGAAATTGAGTGGTATCTGTCCACTATGGTTGACATTGGCAAAAAGAATTTCCCCTTTCCACATATAAAGCCCTCACCAGCAACTTCTCTAAAGCATATGGATGTTCCAAAGTACATTTTTAGAGCTCAGTGAGAGGAGGAAAGGACAAGACAGTTTCTGTTAATTGACATTTGTGTACATGATGTTGGCTTATGGTTAATCTCCTACTGCATGCATGCATGCATATATGCAGGTGCGTGCCTGTGTGTATCAACCTGTAGTGGTTGGATAGCATAGTTGTTAGAGCACTGTCCTTGATGTGGGAGACCAGGGTTCAAATCCTGGCTGGTACCTTACCAGTAGGGGTCCTTGGGCAAAGACCCCTTAATGCTTCACCTGCCTACCTCGAATATGAGAGTGACACAAACTAAGAGAGTTATGCTGGTTTGGAGGTTGCCTGGATTAACAAGGTCTGCGCCAGATGTTGGGGAACCAGGACAATCTGATGATAAGTGGGCTACTGAAACAAACCATACATGGACGAAACAAGAGAACCTGGAATTGATGAGATGCTACTACAACAGTAGACCTAATGAGAGGGGATATATAAAACATATGAGGGAAATTTGGATGGACAGAAGACCTACATCACTGACTGAGAAACAGCTAGTTACCCAACACTTCAACATAGTGAACAGGAAGCTGCTCTCACAACTTGAGATACACCAACTACACATTACATCCCGGACACAAGAAGACCTGGAAGAACAACTGGATGTGCAACCAACACCTGAAGCTGGAACATCACTGCTGCCCTCTCTATTACAGAGCACAGCAGCTGATATGAGGCATAAGATCATGGATAAACTAGCTACGGTCAACCCTTGAGACCGATTACCAAGGTTCAATGGAGAAGTACCATCAGATAGTATGCTAGAAGATGCCAGTAGAGCCCTCACGACAATTCCTACTACCACCATAACTCAAAACAATGAACTGACATAGACTACAGCTGCTGTAATCCTGGAGATGCTTGGCTACATGATCAAGAAAAACAGCAGTACATAACCCTCCCTGGAAAATGAGATTGGAGGTTAAGATCAAGGCAACTCGGAGAGAAGTTAGTCAATTGGTGGAACTACAGAAGAGTAGGAAGATTAAGGATAAATCTCGACTACTGAAAAAATACATGGGCCTGACTTCATCTGAAGCCCTAGAGACTGCTAAACAAAGGCTCACAGCACTGGCTGCCAGGCTAAGGAGATACACTAGAGGAGCAGAAGCCAAGAAGATAAATGCCCTGTTCTCCAAAGAGCC